CTAATAGTATGTACACACATATATATAGGAAGAGATTTATTGTAAGGAATTGGCTCACGTGATTATGGAACCTGCCAAGTTCAAAACTAGCAGGGTGGGCTTTTGGAAACCCAGCAAGGAGTTAATGTTGCAGCTAAATCCACAGGCTGTCTGCCACAGAATTCCATGCTATTTGGCAGAGGTCGGTCTTTTGTTCTCTTCATATTTTCAGATGTTGGGATGAGGCCACCCGACATATGGAGGGCATTCTGCTTTACTCAGAGTCTACCAATTTAAATGTAAATCTTACCCAAATAATGCCCTCATAGAAACATCCAAAATAATGTTTGATCACATATCTGGGTACTGTGGCCTAGCCAACTTGACATAAAATTAACTCATACCCTCTCATTTAAAAAAAAAAAAAAAATGAATCAAAGGGCACCTGGGTGGCTCAGTTGGTTGGGGGACCAACTCTTGATTTTAGCTCAGGTCATGATCTCGGGGTTGTGGGACTGAACCCTGCATGGAGCTCCCTGTCGGGTTCCAGGTTCCACACTCAGTGGGGAGTCTGCTTGAGATTCTCTTTCTCCCTCTCCTTCTGCCCCCCACCCACTCTTGTGCTCACTCTCTCTCAAATTAATTAATTAAAAAAAAAGTGAATCAAGTTGGGGGTGGGGAATAAAACTACCACTCATAAATGAACTTGTTGAGATTTAAGCAGTTTTCCAAGTACGAAGGAAAGAGAATTTCTTATTTATACATTCACTTAATTTTCAACTGGGAATATGATGAGTCACTTTTATAGGTTTAATTCCTTTTGGAAACACTTCAAAGACATGATGAATAAAATAAAAATGTCAAGGATGCCTTTATTACTCTTTTAAACAAAAGACATTTTTTACCCAGTTAACTAGGAAAAGGCACCTGAAAAATATCTCACAGAGGCTTTATTCTGGAAATTTATTTATACTTCCACTTTTTCTTTTCCACAGGTATTAGCTGATGTATTACACCAGGAAAAAATAAAAATTTTAGAATCTCATCTTGAGTTGGCTAGGTCCTTTATATTCATTATTTTGGCCCTTGCATTTATTTAGAATTAATTTATCTATTTATTTTTATTTTTTTTTAATAAAGATTTTATTTATTTATTTGACAGAGAAAGAGAGATATATATCGCAAGTAGGCAGAGAGGTAGGCAGAGAGAGGTGGGGGTCAGGGAATCAGGCTCCCTTGCTGAGCAGAGAGCCCGATGTGGGGCTCGATCCCAGGACCCTGAGATCATGACCCGAGCCGAAGGCAGAGGCTTAACCCACTGAGCCACCCAGATGCCCCTAATTTATCTATTTATTGATAATTGATACTTGAAGACTGTTCTGTCCATCAAAGAAATCTTACTGCTTTAGAGAATGGTAAGCTAGCAGTTTATATCCAGTGGGCATGGTGGAGAAAGTCATTCACTGGTTCCCCATCCCGTTTTGTTTCCTCTATCTGGAAGAGCTTCCTATTTGTTCACCCCTAGTCTCTGGACAGAGCCCAAATGGAACCTTGTTGTAGTAATAAGAGCAACCAGCTTCTCTGTCCAAATATTATTGTAGAATTTTGTTATTGAAATTCTTTAACTTCAGTTCTAACCTTCTTTTTTGATTTCCAGACCACTTCAATAATCTGAAGAAATTGCAGTCTTTCTTCCAGACAGGTGGACAGACAAAACTTATGAAACTATTAGTGTATAACTTTTTGCACTGTTCGGGTTTTGTTATCATGTGTGTGTAATGCCTATTAAATAATAATAAATAATAATGAGGAGAGTTAGTGCTCATTTAGGATTTCTAGATAACCCATGGATAAATATATCATAGTGGCAGTCTTTCCTTTCATGTCATAGGTCACAGATAAGGGAGTAGGACCATAAGAATCTACCAATGAATACTAACCAAAGAAGAAATGCACCTAAACCTTCATATAAAGATTTTTTTATTGTAAAAATTAGCACATTTCAAAAATCTTTACAGTGTCAAAATTCTTTATATTGAGACAGAAACTAAAAGGACCCCATGAAAGAAAACTTTTTTTTTTTTTGCTCCTTTTCCTGCTTATATTCTTGCTAGGATCTGAAATCCTGCCCTACACATGACGTAAATTACCAATAATTGTATGTCCTCCTTGTAAATGTCAAGGAGTTAATGATTTTTTTGGCATCTTCCAGCACAGTAGGTAACATCTAAGCAGTGACAAGTCGAGGTCATCTTGAATATTTTCCAAGACCACTGACTCCAGACACCTTGACACCTACATCCCTGGCTCCAGGGTGTAAGTGATTTATGGAGGACACCTGAGTATTTGCCCTTGTTTTGACCAGGTCCTAGATGCCTGACAGGACATGTATACCTCACCACCATCCTCAGTAAAAACCCAGACCTCAAGCAAAGACGAAATGCATTTCCCTTTTCCTTTCTGAGTCTCCCAGATGCTCCATCTGTATCTGCTCTCTCTATATCTTCAGTGAACTCTGCTCTCACTTCCTCTCAGCTCAATTTGATTTCTTTCCTGCATGAAGCCAAGGATCCTTTTGGCTGGTCCTGTGGGATCCCCTCTGGGTCCTTAGACCTGGCCAGTCTGCATCATTAAGAGCTTTGCCATTTTAAAACTTCAAAGTTATTATTACATTTACTTTTTAAAAATATAAGCTTTCATCCTAATTAGAAAACCTCCTGTGTTTTATCAAGATACATTGCACTATCCATAAATGTTGTTTTAGTTTCCCATCTCTTTGTGTTATCTAAACTTGTATATAATGCTCTTCTGAAACTGCTGTTAAAGGTTACCATCCACTATTAGAACAGTCTCCTTCCTGCCACTGTTCTACTCTTCAGTTCCTCCTCGTTATATGAGCCGTTTAACCTTTTTAAACACAAGTTGCATTCTGTCAACCCCTCATTCAAAAACACCAAGTAAAAAGTAGTGGAATGAACGGTGAGAGGTAGGATGAGGCCAGATTGATTATGCTAGGGCTCAAAAGTTGAATTACAAGAGAAAAGTATTTGAGGAAAAGATTAACATGATAAAAGGTGTTTTACTTAGCTCTCGCCTGTAGCCCTGGGCAGATGCTTTAGAGCTGCAGGATATAAATCAGGGCAATCTGCTATTGCAGAGATCAGGTATACCTTGCTGATAGAAAGGAAAATTATTATGGAGCCTAGGCCTGACATACCGCCCCCCCCCCCCGTCCCCGCCCACCAAATGCTACTTTGTTGAGAGGTTCATAGTGTTGGTTAGTAGAATCCTATTTGATTTGAACTTGCAAAGTTCAATATATATACACAAGATGAGACAGTTTAGTGACAGTGTAGCAATTTGATTTTAGATGTACATGCTGTATCTTAAGCACAAGAGTTTCTGAAGTGTGATTTTAAAGGGTTGCTGGTTCACTTAGGATGTGGGACTGTGCCCAGGAACATCTGGCCACTCTTTTATGGATCCACAACTATGCTTAGTTGATTCCATAAAGGGAATACTTCCCTCTGGATTCTAGGTCAGATTAACCAGACAAAATTCTGGTTCCGCTATTGCTATAAACGTGCAGGAACCTGTGCTCCTTCCGTGCCCTCTGAGCTTCCAGGATCTCCCAGGTCATTATCCTTTTTCCCTCCCTGAGCTAGAGACTCCCCTCAGTCCTTTCCAGGTATTCCAGCAAACAAAGTTGGAGGCGGTATTCAAACTTGCTTTGTTCTTACACCTATGATATAAGATTGTGTTTCCTAAATAAGGGGTCTCTTGGTTAGATGAGAAAGATTCCTAGTCTTAAATTACCTCTTCAGAACTAGGAAATTTGTCTTGAGAATAAAACAGTGGGAAATCGAGTGAAAAAAAGTTAAGTTGGGTGCTAGTCAGAGACAGACAAATACCAGATGATTTCACTCATATGTGGAATTTAAGAAACAAAACAGATGGACATTGGGGAAGGGAAAAAAGAGGGAGGCAAATCGTAAGAGATTCTTAACTACAGAAAACAAACAAATTTGATGGAGGGGAGATGGGCAAGGGAATGTGTTAAATAGGTGATGGGTAGTAAGGTGGGCACTTGTGATGAACCCTGGGTGTTATATGTAAGTGATGAATCACTAAATTCTACACCTGAAACTCAGTTTTTTAAAAACACATTTATTTATTTTTTTAGAGTGACAGCAGGAGGGAGGAGCAGAGGGAAAGAGAATCTCTAGCAGACTTCCCACTGAGCATGGAGGCCAATGCAGGGTTGGATCCCAAGTCCCTACAATCCCAAGATCATGACCTGAACCAAAATCAAGAGTCCCTCAACTGACTGAGTCGGCCAGGCATCCCTATACCTGAAACTCATTTTACCATATGTGTTAACTAATTGAAATTTAAATAAACACTTGAAATTAAAAAAAAAAAAAAAAAAGCGTTAAGGGCCGGGCGGGGGGGCGGTGGTGTAGTCACAGAGATCAGAGGAGAACCCAGAAAGGAGGGAAAGTTCACAGGATCAAGAGCCTAGAAATCTAAAAGTGTTAGTTAGTGGATTTTACCAAACACAAATTGTCAGAGATTTGGTACATTGCTGTTTCAGAAAGAGGGGAGTTCAGAAAAAAGGTTGCAAGAGGGAATGGAGGCATGTGTAACAGAGATTGGAACTTCTCTTTGTACATTCTGTCCTGCTATGAGGTTAGTCTCTCATTTCCTATGAGAGCACCTTCATTACCACCTGACTCCACCTTGCAGCCTATGCTAATGTCTTGTCATCTACTTCTGAACTGTTTATAGTCTACCCATCTACTAAGCCCTAGCTCAGTTTCATGTCCTCCTTCAAGTCTTCTTTGAAGATTATTTCCATTTCTTTCTCCATTCGCTAAGATTTTGTGTTAATAGTTAAAATCATACTAATTAGCCGGTAATAGTTAAAGCAAAAGTGTGAGGCCACTCCCCTCGAGTCAGGCAGTGTAACTCTTGAGTTTGGAGACTAAAATTCTAAAATTCTTTCGTATATTCTTTGCAAAAATTCCAGGTTCATACTTATTAGATATACCATCAGGTCTAAAGTTCTGTTAAATATTCAAGAACCACTTAAAAATACTGCACAAAACCTTCTATCCGGGAATGCGTTAAATTTTCGAGTGAAATATATCCATCTTGACTATTCCAACAAGATTGCCCAAGTCATTCCTATAGCAGAGTAGAAAACTTTGAATTGATTCAGAATTGTCAAAAGGGGCAGCCGCCATAGAGGCTTGTAGCAGAGAGCGCTGAAATTCGATCTGCATTAAATAGCGACATTATAATAATCTCAAAGGTAAAAGTGTTAAATTTCACAAACATCTAGAAAAGGGAGCAAAAAGATCACCTAACAATAGTTGGCTTATCTGTCAGATCAGTGTTCCTAAACACACTGCGGTTCAGATTCTAAACCTGAGTTTTACATCATTAGACGCCGGCAGCCAATTGGGCCGTCTGGTTGCCGTGCATCCTGGGAGCTGTAGTTTCCGGCTCCCTCCTCCTGACTCCAAACTCCACCGAGCAGCTGGAGGACGGTTGCTTGGTATTATTAGCAAGCGGGAAGTATGGCGGTGGCGCGCGTCGACCCGGCTTTGCCTCCTGGAGAAGGTAAGGCGACACCCCCACCCGTGAATCCCAAAGTTTACACCATGGAACTAAAATAGTTACCTGGTCGAGAGAAGAAGCCTGGGTTTGGGGGTGCAGTTCTGTACCAGTTCTTTAGATGCGGGGCTATGGGCGTCGCGAAGCCGCGCTGCCCTCTGGGAGTTGTAGTTCCGGGGTGCTGCCTAGCTCTGCGGCTTTGAGGAGAGGGCCGAGCTGCGGACTACATCCCCAGGGTCCTTCGCGCGGCCGGGTGCCTTAGCTCCCGCGCTTCTGAGGCTTCCCGGATGGTGGGTTTCGGACTGCGGTGACCTCTTTTGGATTTTTACTTTGAATTCTGGATGCCAAGTGAAAATTCCCGGATTTCCATATGTCGCTTTACGCGTCTCCCTTATTCTATGTGTTCCTATCCCATTCAGGAAACCCTCTTTCAAACATAGCTCTTAGACCGACGTTAAACCCTTTTTTGGAAGTGTTCCTTGGCAGTGATAAAATTCACGGTGACCAAGAGCCCACAGATATCCACACTTTGTTCTGCAGACCAGGGCCTGGGATCGGGTTTGGTCGCTACCCAGCGGAGCGTGAGGTGTGGGTGCTTCTGTGGCCGGGAGTCGCCGGGCAGGAGCCGAGCTCCTTTGTTTTGGTTACAGCTCCGAGGCTCCGCAGCAGCCTTCTGGATCCGGGGCCGGGCTCAGGCTTAAGGCCTCTCTTCACAGTTTAGACCAGCGGGTCATTATCTGGGGGCCGTGACTTCTTGGTGGGGGTGAGGAGCATCGATGGTTCTAAGAGGTCTGTCGACCCCGTGGAATTGTGTGCAAAGACTACATTTTCCTTGGACAGTACACAGCTTTCACCAAATTCTCAGGGACTCCCCATGACCATCCCCAAATGCTGGAATCCATTAGACAATGAAAACACGTTGAAACCTTTCAGGAGAGCAGTCTCGCATAATTATTTCCCACAGTAATCTTAATCTGGGTATAAACATGAAATTGGCAGTTTCTGTGGCCCCACCCCTTTTTGATATCGGCTTCTCTTAAACTCCACCTCCTCAGCCCACCAAGAGAAACTGACTGACAATAATAGCAGTAAACCTTTTTTTTTTTTTTTAAAGGTTTTATTTATTTGACAGAGAGATCACAAGTAGGCAGAGAGGCAGGCAGAGAGAGAGAGAGAGAGAGAGAGAGGAGGAGGCAGGCTCCCTGTTGAGCAGAGAGACCAACGGGGAGTGGGGACCTCCATCCGACCCAAACTGAAGGCAGAGGTTTTAACCCACTGAGCCACCCAGGCGCCCCGATTCAGTAAACATTTACAGAACACTTTTTATATGAGCCAGACGATGTTCTGAGTGTTTTTTTTTTTTTTTTACATGATCTCATTCTTTCTGTAGAACAACATTATAAGGCAGATATTATTATTACCCGCATCTTGTAGAGTGGAAAAGTGAGCCCCAAAGCGAACAATAACTTGCCCAAGATACCACAGTGCTTCATCGGGGAGCCAGGATTTGAACGTCTGTGAAACTAAATTACTTAATTGATTGCTGTATGCCAGGAGCGGGGCTAAGTTTTTATTCATGTGGTTTCTGTTTTCATCCCCACCTCAATTTAATTAATTAGGTGTATTGTTTCTATTTTGTAGATAAATTAACTTAACTATACATTGATTTTAAAAATAGTTTAGGCACTTTAGGATATACTAGTAGTTAGATTGTAAGCAGGTTGATCTCTATCAAAAGATTAGTTCCATTTAAAAAAGACAAACGTTACTTAGCCACAAAATATGGAATAGTTCTTATTTATTTGCTTATTTGTTTGTTTATTGAGAGAGAGAGTAGACACCTGTGCTGGCTATGGGGGGGAGTTTGGGGGAAGGGGCAGAGAGAAAGAGAGAGAATCTTAATGGTGGAGCTGACTGGGGGTTCCATCCCACCACCCTTAATTTATGATCTGAGCCAAAATCAAGATTTGGTGCTTTGACGGACTGAACCCTCAGGCCCCAATAGTTAATATTTAAATGCGAAGAATTCCAGAGTATTATTATATCATAAAAACTTGAACAGAATATCACAAATTTCTGGGTATAATTTGATATTTCTGAGGGAAAGTGAACATTTTCAATCTGTGGTCATTTAGAATGCCTTAGTTTTTAAATCTTGATATTTATTATGCTCTAGTGTTTTCTAACTCTAAATATAGAGATTTTTATGAATATAATTCTATTCCTATGCTCAGCTATTGTGTGTTTTTTTTTTTTTTAAGATTTTATTTATTTATTTGACAGAGCTTACAAGTAGGCAGAGAGGCAGGCAGAGAGTGAGGGGGGAAATAGGCTCCCTGCTGAGCAGAGAGCCTGATGTGGGGCTCGATCCCAGGACCCTGGGATCATGACCTGAGCCGAAGGCAGAGGCTTTAACCCACTGAGCCATCCAGGCGCCCCAGCTATTGTGTTTTCTAACAATTTCTCTTCTATTTTCAAGGATCAGTGGTCAACTGGTCAGGACAGGGGCTACAGAAATTAAGTCCCAACTTACATTGTGAAGCTGATATTCATACTTTGATTCTGGATAAAAATCAGATTATTAAATTGGAAAATCTTGAGAAATGCCGACGATTAATACAGGTAGGTATTGCCATCTGAGGAAATAGTTACACGTGTTTATTATTCTACAAAACAACAAAATAACCTAACAAAAAGTAACTCTGCAGTCCTAGAAAGCAGTAAATGTTACCGTAAATTTTTACATGACAGTTTTCCTTGAAGATGAACACATATGTGCCACATTTAAAATAGACTAGGAAAAGAAGTGTTAGAAAAACAAAACATTTTGTGTTGGCAAAACATTGTGTTGTTAGATAACCTTTTACATCATGGTGGAGGTGAAGAGTTCATTCATTCATTCTGTCAGCAAATGGCTATGGGTCTCCTCCCATATATCGGACCCTACTCAAGTAGTTGCTCTGTTAAAAATGTTTTGAACAGTTGGAGAGGGTCTGATTGCTCAGCTTTATGTGTATTTTCCATTGCTTAGGAACAACTTAGAACACCAACAATAACAAATAGTTACACTATAGAGTATTTAGACAAAATATGTGAGAAGTTCAATATGAGTTTGTATATTTGGAAATGTTTGTTCATATAAACAAATCTTTTAAAAAAGTGAAAGTAATATGCATATTTTATTTCTAAGATAATGGTATGTTTTCGTTCAACAGTTGTCAGTGGCTAATAATCGTCTGGTGCGAATGATGGGTGTGGCCAAACTGACCCAACTCAGGGTGTTAAATTTGCCTCATAATAGCATTGGCTACGTGGAAGGGCTGAAGGACCTAGTACATTTGGAATGGCTGAATTTGGCAGGAAATAATCTGAAGGTGAATTGTTTCTTTTTTTCGTAGTTGCATTTTCTTTTTTTAATTTATAAAAAATATTCACTGTAAAAAAAATATTCGCTGTAAAAAAAATTCAAACAGTATAGAAATAAATAGAATAAGAAGTGAAAGTATCTACTCCCACTTCCCAGGGATAATTTTAGTTAACATAAACTGAAAAAAAATTATTTTGAAGCAAATATGCAGCATAATATTCTTTTATGAACAAAGAATCTATATTATACTTAGAAAAGTTGTCAAATAGTAAAATGAAATGTAGGGGTACTATAGCATGCTGAGTTAAGCTCTAAGTAAATGTTTAATGGTATAGTAGAGAACATACTGTCTTAATAGTCAAGAGATCTGGATTCTAACCCTGTTTCCATCACTTAGTAACTCCATATTTTTGTGTAATAAATATCTCCATGTCTTATCTTTTGATATGTTAGATAAGGGGACTCAGTTAAATGATATTAAGAGCTCGCTTGTTAATTTATGCTAGGTGCTGTTCTAGGCACCTTAACTATACTAACTCATTCAGTGTCATGGCAGGTTTGAAGTAGATACAGTCGTTATGACTATTAATGTAAATGCAAAATGAAATACAGAGAAGTAGAGTAACTTTCTTAAGGTCATATAGCCAGGAAGTTGCAGAGCCAGCATTTGAATCCGTGTAGTTTGACTTCCCTCTTAACTTGTAAACTCTGTACTACTAGCTGTCATGGGTTATCACTAAGGTTTTTTTAAGCTATAAATATCTGGGATGATATGATCCTCTCCTCTCAGAGGGATAATGAAGGTAGAAGCTTGGTATATAACAACTTACCAAAATCTGTTATTACCATTTCTTTTTCCTTTTGCTAAACTCTGCTCATATCCTTCCAATAATAAGCAGAGGAGACAGGAGATTCAGCTATGAGGAACTAGGGAAGAATTTCATTTTTTGATTTTGTGTTCATGAACTAGTGTGATGCTTTTCTTGTGATAGGCCATGGAACAAATGAGTAGCTGCACAGCTCTACAACACCTTGATTTATCAGACAATAACATACCCCAGATAGGTGATCTATCTAAATTGGTATCACTGAAGGTAAGTGTATCATTTCTGACATTTTCATATCATTTCTGACATTTTATCCTAATATACCAAAAGAAAGTGATCTGATTGGCCTAAAATCGGCCTACTCTGTATGAAGGACAGGTTGTATACATTATGATAAAATTTCTATTAGAGCACTAGAAATTAAGTATGCAATCCTTTATTTTTAGTTTCTATAATTTATTTATTTATTTTTATAATTGATTTATTTTAACTAAAACTGGTCATTGTAGTTAAGGTTAATTCTTATTTGTCATCCTATGAACATAAAGAAATCCCCTTTATGCCTAATCAGCCAATACTAATAGCTTTAGCTATGTAATATGTAACATTTTGGTAAGATTGAGAGTAATCATTTGAGTCTGAATTTGAGTCTTTTTTTTTGACACTTGAGAATCCTGTTTTTTGAGTAATAGGTATTACTACATTATCAAAAGTAACTTTGATTTAAAAAGTAAACCTGTAGCATATAGTACTTTTTATGGAGAGGAATTTATCATGCAGTCAAAATGAGTAACAGTTGCAATTACAGTTTCAAAAACATACAAGCTTTTTTCATATTTTTGGACCATTGGATATTATTAGCATCAGATAAACTCATTAAACCTTAGAAGCAGTATTATTAGAGCAACTTTGCCCACATTTTTAGCATAAATCATTTTTAGCAACAATTACTCTAAACAATTTGGTGTGTACAGATAGAGAAAATTCAGATGAACTAAGGATTTTTTTTTTTTTCTGGAATGATTATTTTATCAGAATCCTGAGTTTCAAAGCCTTCAGTTATTCTTCATTGTTGCTGACTTAATTTGAGTTAGCTTCATCTGCAAGTAGCATATTGTTCCTTCCTTAAGTTTTTAGTTTTCAAGAGAATGCAGTTATAAATTACAAGTTGTGGGTTACCTCTTTATCTTGGAAAATTTGCTTTATATCTGTTTTTTTTTTTTTTTAAGCTTTTATTTATTTATTTGACAGAAAGAAAGAGAGCACAAATAGGGGAAGCAGCAGGCAGAGGGAGAGGGGAGAAGCCGGCTTCCTGCTGAGTAGGGAACCTGATATGGGGCTTGATCCCAGGACCCTGGAATCATGACCTGAGCCGAAGGCAGATGCTTAATTGACTGAGCCACCTGGCGCCCCATATGTGATTGTTCTAATGAATGTTTTCTTTCACTTTCCTTACCCTTTATTTTGATTGATTACTTTTTTTTTAAGAGAGAGAGCCTGTGAGGAAGAGGGGGAGAGGGAGAGGGAGAGAGAGACTCTTAAGCAGGCTCCACACCCAGCGCAGAGCCCGTCGTGGGGCTTGATCTCACGACCCTAAGTTCATGACCTGAGCCGAAATCAAGAGTCAGACAGTTTACCATTTGAGCTATCCAAGTGCCCCTTGATTTTTTTTTTTTTAAAGATTTTATTTTTAAGTAATCTCCACCCAACATGGGGCTAGAATTCACAACCCTGAAATCAAGAGTCACATGTTGTACTGACCGAGCCAGCCAAGCACCCCTATTTTGACTTTTTTTTTTTTTTTTAAATTAAGTAATTTATTTGACAGACACAGTGAGAGAGGGAACATAAGCTGGGGGAGTGGGAGAGAGAGAAGCAGGCTTCTGCTGAGCAGGGAGCCGATGCGGGACTTGATCCAGGACCCTGGGATCAGGTCCTGAGCCAAAGGCAGACGCCTGACGACTGAGCCACCCAGGCGACCCTATTTTGACTTTTTTAAAAAAGATTTTATTTATTTGTTAGAGGGAGAGAGAACACAAACAGGAGGAACAGCAGAGGGAGAGGGAGAAGCAGGCTCCCTGCTGAGCAGAGAGTCCAGTGTGGGACGCAATCCCAGGACCCTGGGATCATGACCTGAGCCCAAGCCAGACACTTAACCAACTGAGCCACCCAGGCAACTGCTATTTTAATGTTTTAAAAGGAAATGAACAATATGTTGGAAATTGCTCAAGTTTTAATAATTTAAATCTCAAAAAATGCTTGTTACCACACCAAGCATGTGTTCTTGGACAAATCTTTAAACTTTCTTGAGCTTAGAATGTGGACATGAATTGGATGATCTGATCCAACATGAGTTGGATCAGAATACCACCTAGGACCCTTGTAGCATTAATAGTCTTTGCTGTAAGTGAAGAAAAGTATAATAAAATAGGTTTCTTTATTTTTATCTGCACCATTTGGTTATGTCAAAGTAGATAAATAGTAATCTTTTCATTTGTAATTCATCCTGTTTTTACTTTCAAGACCCTGCTTTTACATGGAAACATCATCACCTCTCTTAGAATGGCACCTGCTTATCTACCCAGAAGTCTTGCTATACTTTCCTTGGCAGAAAATGAAATTCGGGACTTAAATGAGGTAAAATTTGAGGGTATTCTGTGGGATCCAGGAAGCTGCAAAGTACGGAAGAAACTCAGGAGAAAGTTGTGAGCTCACTTGTAAACTCAGCATCTTGGAAGACAGTGCCAAAAAGATGAAACACTTGACTCAAGATGATTGTTATTTTTTCTTTCTACTTTTTCCTAATGTCAGTGGGTCATTAAGGCTCAATTTCCTTTGTAGTGCTGCAACTGTTAATCCATTTGGAACTGATTTGTGGTAGAGTTATATCTACATTAAAAGGATCAGAAAGGGATACTGTGCACCTTTCTCTGGCTGCTATTATGTTTTCAAAATAGGATTTTTTCTGTTAGGAAACAGTGCTGGTACTTTGTAAGGTATTTTGTGCTGCAACGACAGATGGCCATGTTGATGGAATTTTTGGAAGTCGGTGGATAATGTTAAGAGTGTTATGTGTTGCCTTTCAGAACAAGAGGGAAATTGTTACATTCTCAAACTGCCAAAGATGTGTACTCAAAGCAAGCCCTGTGCTTAATACTAAATAGTCCATTTCATTCAACAAAGATATCCTTTATTCCAGATCTCTTTCTTGGCATCCTTAACTGAATTGGAACAGTTATCCATCATGAACAATCCTTGTGTGATGGCAACACCATCCATTCCAGGATTTGACTATCGGCCATACATTGTCAGCTGGTGCTTAAACCTCAGAGTCCTAGATGGTTACGTGATTTCTCAGAAGGAAAGGTGAATATGACCTCTTTAATGTCACATTTATGATGGAAAAGAAAAGACCATTTCTAGCTTACTACAGATTACTAAACTATTTCTTAAAATGTGCATTTAGAGGGGCGCCTGGGTGGCTCAGTGGGTTAAAGCCTCTGCCTTCGGCTCAGGTCATGATCCCAGGGTCCTGGGATCGAGCCCTGCATCGGGCTCTCTGCTCAGCAGGAAGCCTGCTTCCTCCTCTCTCTCTGCCTGCCTCTCTGCCTACTTGTGATCTCTCTCTGTCTGTCAAATAAATAAATAAATAAAATCTTTTAAAAAAATGTGCACTTTGAAATTAAGATCATTAGTGCAATCATATAGCAAACTATATGCTTGTCATTTAGGATTTTCTGTCCTTTCTAAGAAAGGAAAAGAAATATCAGTTTGAGAGGTTCGGGCCAGTGAGTTTAACCTAATGCCCAACATACAACAATTTGATTTCTGAGAGTTATTTTGTTTATCGGTTGTTTGTGGGGTTTAGAGCATTTTCTATAGAAATTATATTATACTCGAGTGGAGGGGGGTGGGAGGGGTGGGGTGGCAGGGTGATGGACATTGGGGAGGGTATGTGCTATGGTAAGTGTTGTGAATTGTGTAAGACTGATGAATCACAGACCTGTACCCCTGAAACAAATAACATATTGTATGTTAATTTAAAAAATTATATTATGGATGCTGTCTAGGGTCTTAGATCAATCCCACAAAAGCTTCTAATCCATCTTATATATAAGGGCAGTATTAGTAATACGACTCGGGGTGCCTCAGTTTCTTAGCTGGTTAAGCATCTGACTCTTGGTTTTTGGATCAGGTCATGATCTCAGGGTTGTGGGTTCAGGCCCCGTGTTGGGTTCTGCACAAGTGTGGAGTCTGTTTGAGATTCTCTCCCTCTCCTTCTGCTTCCCTCTCTCTCTGTCTGCTTCTCTGCTTACTTGTGATCTCTGTCTGTCAAATAAATAAATAAATAATCTGGAAAAAAAAAAATAAAACAACTCTGGAAGTATTCTAAGGGAGAGCTCTTGTTATTAAAATTCACTGCCGGAGCAGTGTTCAGAACATTTTCCTGGTCAACCTTGGAAATTCCTGAAGGATAGAAAGGAATTTCCAGTTTTTTGTTTCTACCCTGTTATTAGCAGGGAACATCCAGATTAAACATTTTCTTCATTATGACTAAGCCAGCCAGGCACCATGAAAAGTATCCTGGGTGCTTTGATGACTTTAGGTAGCCAGATTTTGAGTATGTGTGTCACTGGAAAGATAATTTGAGCAGTCACTCACCCCGTTGGTGCTATGGCTGAGTGCTATCTCAGATAGAGGCATACCTATGGAAGGACCACACCCTTGTGTAGCACCTCAGTATTTGGAGTTCTTTCTGAATTTGTTTCCATCTCTGACTATTTCTAGGACTTAGGCCCAAGCTACACCTCTGTTGTTTAGTTGGAGATGAGAATTTAGGGAGCAGAACTTGGAAGATGTTTCTTTTTTGAAAGGATTTAAAAATACATACAGAAATGGAGAGAGTACCATAATGAACACCTAAATACCCACCATGCCACTTCAACAATTACCAACTTAGCCAGTCTTGTTTCATGGATCCCCACATTTTTGGTTGGCTTTATTTATTTATTTATATATTTATTTATTTATATGCATTTTTTAGATTTATTTATTTGAGAGAGAGTGCAAGAGAGAACACGAGTAGAGGGGAGAGGCAGAGTGAGAGGGAGAAGGACACCTGCTGAGCAAGGAACCCGACATGGGGCTCAGTCCTCCATCCGAGGACACTGAGATCATGACTTGAGCCAAAGGCAGTTGCTTAACTAGCTGAGCCACCCAGGTGGCCCTGTTGGAGTATTTTTAAAGCAAATACCAGTTATCATTTCATCTAATAGTCCTTTTTTTTTTTTTAAGATTTTATTTATTTATTTGACAGGAATCACAAGTAGGCAGAGAGGCAGAAAGAGATGTGGGAGGCCATGGTTAAGGCTTGAGACGAGAACCAAACTAGGCCCTGACTTGTGCCTCCTTTAAAGGCTGAATAGCCGAACAAAAGGCTTAGGTCGATGAAGTTGAGTAGCACTGGGAAAGGGTCTGTGCTATGTGTTGTGCGCTCACCTATGTGACAGCCCACACGTTCGCTAGTCAGATAGAAATGATTTGGTCGGGGTCATGAATTCTTGGCTGGTCCTTGCTGTCCTTGCACAGGCTATAGACTACACCATTGTAAGACTCAGCTATGCTTACATAAACTATTTCTTGAGTGGCCTTGAAGTCAGTACATCTGGCGCTAGAAGGTCTGCTATTGATGTCTAGGAAATAGATAATGAGAAAGCTTGAAGGATTTTCTGTGCATGTTACAAACTCTTTAGTAATCAGCTAAAAATAGATACTTTCTTATGATTGTTTCTGTTAGCTATATAATGCCTTGCTGCCTTGAATAAAATTGGCACTATTAGACACCCTCCTTGGTGCTCCTCCTGCCACCATCTCTTTGTCTCTTAATTTCTTTTCACCATCCTCTTACCCTCACGTTCCTGATCGATGTGTCACGCCGGCTGCGACAAAGAGAGAGAGGGGAAGCAAGCTTCCTCCTGAGCAGAAAGTCCTACTCGGGGCTCGATCCCAGGACCCTGAGATCGTGACCTGAGCCGAAGGCTGAGACTTATCCCTCTGAGCCACCTAGGTGCCCTATATACTTTTTTTTTTTTTTTTTAATGAGAAAGCAGATTATCTTGTTCTAGTTTTTAAAACTCAAACCTTTAAAAAAGATATTATTTATTTTAGTGAGAGATAGTGAGTGTGGGCAGGAGTGGGAGAGAGTCTCAAACCTTAGAGCCCAAAGTAGGGCTTGATCTGATGAACCTGAGATCATGACCTGCCCCAAAATCAAGTCAGATGCTTGACTGATTGAGCCACTCAGGTGCCCCAAGAACAGATTGTTTTAAATTTTCTCTCCTAATAGTTGTTACTTATGTTACGTTATGTAAATTTTTCCTTCAATTTCAAGAGAAGAATCATATTCCAGTGGTTTGAAATTAATATGTTAGAGCTGAATGAATTTTAATTTTTTCTTTGAATTATCAATGATGTTTTAATGGGCAAGGAGATTGTTTTATCCTAGGAGAATATTTTATGGATTAATAAACTTGTGTAATGTTATGTTTATTGATGAATGATAAGCAAAAGAAACAGATGTTACAGTAGTTGATGCTCTGCAGATTGTGATTTTCCTCACACACTTAAAACTGAATATTCAAGTCAGAACTTTGTTCCTCTCCTTATTTTCGCTTTTCTTTCCTTCCCAACTACAAACGATCTATAACTTGGAAATTTTGCTTGCTGGCTAACATTAAAGTTGGTGATTATCCTTTACTCGCATGGATCTTTTTTGGGAACATTGTTCAACAAGCCATTTGCTTGGTAGAAGAACTTACAGAAATTTAGAGCAGATATCCACATTCTGAGTGATTTTTTTTTTTTTTTTTTTTTTTAAGAGAGCATCAAAGCCAGTGAGTGCAGGTAGAGGGAGGTGTACAGGGAGAGGGAGAGAGCAGGCTCTATGCCCAGTGCATAGCCTGACTCAGGGCTTGATCCCATGACCCTGAGCTGAAATCAAGAGTTGGATGCTTAGCTGAGCCACCCAGGTGCCCTGATCTTTATTTAATACATAGACTCATTCGTGGAAGAAATACTTTGAATTACTTTTATTAGGTAGAATAAAATTTTTATCTTTAGACTAAGATTAGGATTCTATGAGTTCAGTTAATCAGTTAGGCATACCTCATATCTCATTGTTAGAAAACAGCTTTTCCTTTCTTGTGATGATGGCAAATCACAGAAAACTAATCTCATTTTATTTTATTTGCACCATGACTCTTTTGCATGATTTAACCAGTTATCAAAGGCCAGTTTCATTTCAGTCTATAATAGAACTTGGGTGGCTTGACAGTTTTGGACTGTATAGTTTGTATGATGTGGATACCTTAATATCAAGGTCCAAGTAAGTGGTTGTGGATTGAAAGTGATTTCGAAACTATTTAATGCCAAGTTAATGCTATAACAATAAACCATACCAAAATGATCCAACCTCAACTTTAGGTTGAGGGGTAGATTTAAGAATGGTGAAAGTGAATGGGTGCCTGGGTGGCTCAGTGGGTTAAGCCTCTGCCTTCAGCTCAGGTCATGATCTCAGGGTCCTGGGCTGGAGCCCCGCATCAGGCTCTCTGCTTAGCAGGGAGCCTGCTTCCTCACCTCCTGCCTCCTGCTCTGCTGACTTGTGATCTCTCTCTCTCTCTGTCAAATAAATAAATAAAATCCTTAAAAAAATTAAAAAAAAGTGGTGAAATTGAAGCAATGGTATGTTAATTAAAAAAATTAAAATAAATATGTAAAAGTAAACAGCAGTATAATGACCTCCCATGAGTCCATCATCCACCTTCAACAGTTGACAGCTCACAGCCAACCTTGTCGTCTATACCTTTATCCATTCCCTGTTCTCCTATATTATTTTCAAGCAAATCTCAAAGTACATGTAATTTCAACTGTGAATATTTCAGCATATATCTCTAAAAGATGAAGGCTCTGGGGGCACCTGGGTGGCTCAGATGGTTAAGCTTCTGCTTTCGGCTCAAGTCATGATACCAGGGTCCTGGGATTGAGTCCCGCATTGGGCTCCCTGCTCAGCTCTCCCTGAGCTCTCCCCCTGCATGTGCGCTCTCTCTCTCTCCCTCTGCTTCTGCTGCTTCTCCCTCTCCCTCTGCTGCTCCCCCTGCATGTGCTCTCTCTCTCTCTCTCTCTGTTAAATAAATAAATAAAATACTGGGGTGCCTGGGTGGCTTAGTGGGTTAGAGCCTCTGCCTTTGGCACAGGTCGTGATCCCAGGGTCCTGGGATTGAGCCCTGCATCGGGCTCTCTGCTGGGCAGGGATCCTGCTTCCCCACTAAAAACAACAACAACAACAACAAAAAACCAAACCAAACCAAATAAATAAATAAATAAATAAATAAATAAATAAAGGATAAAGGCTCTTAATGAAATAACTACAATACTATTATCACATCTCAAAAATTTCACAATTCCTTAGTAACATCTGGTATTATTAGTTCAGTGCTTATGTTTCTAAAAGTCCTCATAAATGCAGTTTTTAAATGGTTTTTTGGAAACAGGATCCAAATAAGGCTCCCCATTGGATTTGGTTGATGTATCTTTTAAATTTCTTGCTTTTTTAGTGACTTAAAACTTTGATTTGTTACTGAATGCTCCATGGGTTGGCCATGCGTATTCGGTGGTTCTCATGTGCTTGTGGTAAGATCACACAGAGCTTGGCTGGGTGTCCAAGATGATGCTTTTACATCTCTGTTAATTTATAGGTTTCTTCTCTTTCATTTTCTTTGCTTTCTTTTCTCTTTTTTGGTTGTTGTTGAAAAAAATGAGATTATATGTCCTGTAGAGTTTCCCACTGTACCTATTTTGCTGACTAAATCCCTGTGTCCCTTCTTATATTTCCTGTAAATTGGTAGGAGGATGTGGAGGTTTCATCAGATTTAGGCTTTTTAGTGGAGAGGACCACTTTTGGGTTCTGTCAAGACACACACGCACACACACACACACAGATACACAGTGTTTGGTTGTCCTTCATGTTATTAGTAGCTATTAATGATCAATGGCTAAAACTATTAATTCATTCACTGAGAGCTTCAAAATGGTGAGATTTTATTTTTTAAATTTTTAAGTTTTTTAACTTAATTTTATTTTTTCAGTGTTCCAAGAGAAATGGTGAGATTTTAATCCATTCATTTTATTAGCTGGAATACCTCTATGGAGTAACTATTTGGTCCTTCCTGGTATGGATTGTATAGGAAAGATAGAATTATTGATATTGAATTCTTATTCTTTATTGAACCAGTTTTTAAAAGTAATGAGTTGATGGTTCACTGGCATCCTCTAGCTGAGACCAATTAGCTTTTTTTTTTTTTTAACTGTCATTATGAATTAATGGATTTAAATGTAATTGATATATTTACGTACTTTAGTTTGATGGTGAATAGAGGGAATACTCATTGCTTCTTTGAAAATAATTTTAAAGATATTTGGAGCTGTGAGTGCAACTCTGTGGAAGTGCCCCTAAGCGAGAACAGAGATTCAAAACATTACAAGAGTAAAGGGAGTGAACCAGAAGGAAAGATTAAGAAAAGAAAAAAAACAAAAAAACTTAACTGAATTTTATTTATGAAAATCATCGAGTGATGCTGTAAGTTAAGAAGGAAGATCATTGTTGCTTCAAAATGTATCTGTGCTGCTGTCATATCATCTATTGTTTGTTCCCCACTTCCAGTTTGAAAGCTGAATGGCTCTACAGTCAAGGCAAGGGGAGAGCATATCGTCCAGGCCAGCATATCCAGCTTGTGCAGTATCTGGCTACTGTCTGTCCTCTAACTTCCACACTGGGTCTTCAAACTGCAGAGGATGCCAAACTAGAGAAGATTCTGAGCAAACAGAGGTAAGCCCCTTTATTTGTAGCACCTGATAATTCACAAGTGGAAATATCTCTCAGTCTTTCCTGCATGGTTAGTAGGACTGGGGCAAGAGCTGTGACCCACATTTCTGGGCACTCAGGCTCCTTGTCACTGCAGCAGTCCTGCAGGGGAACTAAACCGTGCAGTGCCGTCCAGCCTGCTCTACAGCAGGTGCGTTGTTAGTCATTTCCTGAGTGGGGAGAGCCGAGCAGTGTGGAGACTGGGGTTTTTTAAAAATATATTTGTCCTTTAACGTAGGTGTTTCATATGGGTTCTTTAATACTAACATTAAGAAGTGAAGCTAGAAGCATGTACTAGTCACTTCTTTATCAGAGAGCCTGCCTTTGAGTGTTTGTGCATGTGTGTGACTATGAGGCTGTCTATGTGATTGTGATTTAACCTTTCTATCCAATACTTTCAAACTTCACTTTGTAATTTGGTGGTGATAAAAGATACCTACTTTGAAAACTTAAATCTCGACCTCTTTGACAGGATTATGTAAGAAGCAGGAAAACTTTCTTTTTGTGGTTTGTGTTAAGTCACATCAGATGTTACTAATTTTTAGGTTTCACCAGAGACAATTGATGAACCAAAGCCAAAGTGAAGAGCTAGCCTCTCTTGCTCCTGTTGAAACAAAAGCACCCCTTGTACCTGAGCATTCAAGCCCTGTTCAAGATGGCCAGATAGTCCAGGAAAGCGGTATGAAATTGATCGATCTATGGTCCTTTTTCTCCAAGTTGTTCCATCTGTTCAGTACCATAAAATGGAAATAAATACATATTTTCATAATTTTTTGTTTGTTGACTTAAGTGAACATTTAGGTCTTATATTATATGTATGTATATATACATACACACATGTAAAATTACTATATTTTAAAGTATTAATTTTTATTATTTTTGTCACAATAATAATTTTTTTTTGAGATTAAAAAAAATTAACATATAATGTATTATTAGCCCCAGGGGTACAGGTCTGGGAATCGCCAGGTTTACATACTTCATAGCACATACCTTCCCCAATGTCCATAACTCTACCACTCTCTCCCTACCCCCCTCCTGCCGGCAACCCTCAGTTTGTTTTGTGAGATTAAGAGTCTCTTATGGTTTGTCTCCCTCCTGATCCCATCTTGTTTCATTTATTCTTTTCCTACCTCCCAATCTCCCCACATTGCCTCTTCCTCATATCAGGGAGATCATATGATAATTGTCTTTCTCTGATTGACTTATTTCACTAAGCATAATACCCTGTAGTTCCATTCGCATCATCACAAATGGCAAGATTTCATTTCTTTTGATGGCTGCATAGTATTCCATTGTATATATATTACCACATCTTCTTTATCCATTCATCTGTTGATGGACATCTAGGTTCTTTCCATAGTTTGGCTATTGTGGACATCGCTGCTATAAACATTCGGGTGCACATGCCCCTTTGGATCACTACATTTGTATCTTTAGCGTAAATACCCAGTAGTGCAATTGCTGGGTCCTAGGGTAGCTCTATTTTCAACTTTTTGAGGAACCACCATGCTGTTTTCCAGAGTCGTTGCACCAGCTTGCATTCCCACCAAGAGTATAGGAGGGTTCCCCTTTCTCTGCATCCTTGCCAGCATCTGTCATTTCCTGACTTGTTAATTTAGCCATTCTAACTGGTGTGAGGTAGTATCTTATTATGGTTTTGATTTGTATTTCCCTGATGCCGAGTGATGTGGAGCACTTTTTCATGTGTCTGTTGGCCATCTGGATGTCTTCTTTGCAGAAATGTCTGTTCATGTCCTCTGCTCATTTCTTGATTGGATTATTTGTTCTTTGGGTGTTGAGTTTGATAAGCTCTTTATAGATTTTGGATACTAGCCCTTTATCTGATATGTCGTTTGCAAATATCTTCTCCCATTCTGTGAGTTGTCTTTTGGTTTTGTTAACTGTTTCCTTTGCTGTGCAAAAGCTTCTGATCTTGACAAAGTCCCAATAGTTCATTTTTGCCCTTGCTTCCCTTGCCTTTGGCGATATTCCTAGAAAGAAGTTACTGCGGCTGAGGTCGAAGAGGCTGCTGCCTGTGTTCTCCTCAAGGATTTTGATGGATTCCTTTCTCACGTTGAGGTCCTTCATCCATTTTGAGTCTATTTTCGTGTGTGGTGTAAGGAAATGGTCAAGTTTCATTTTTCTGCTTGTGGCTGTCCAATTTTTCCAACATCATTTGTTGAAGAGACTGTCTTTTTTCCATTGGACATTCTTTCCTGCTTTGTCGAAGATTAGTTGACCATAGAGATGAGGGTCTATTTCTGGGCTCTCTATTCTTTTTTTTTTTTTTTAATTTTATTTTTTATAAACATATAATATATTTTTTAACCCGGGGTACAGGTCTGTGAATCGCCAGGTTTACACACTTCACAGCACTCACCATGGCACATACCCTCCCCAATGTCCATAACTCCACCCCCCCCTCCCAAACCTCCTCCCCCCAGCAACCCTCAGTTTGTTTTGTGAGATTACGAGTCACTTATGGTTTATCTCCCTCCCAATCCCATCTTGCTTCATTTACTCTTCTCCTACCCCCTTACCCCCCATGTTGTATCTCCTCTCCCTCATATCAGGGAGATCATATGATAGTTGTCTTTCTCCGATTGACTTATTTCTCTAAGCATGATACCCTCTAGTTCCATCCACGTCGTCGCAAATGGCAAGATTTCATTTCTTTTGATGGCTGCATAGTATTCCGTTGTGTATATATACCACATCTTCTTTATCCATTCATCTGTTGATGGACATCTAGGTTCTTTCCATAGTTTGGCTATTGTAGACATTGCTGCTATAAACATTGGGGTGCACGTGCCCCTTCGGATCACTACTTTTGTATCTTTAGGGTAAATAGCCAGCAGTGCAATTGCTGGGTCATAGGGTAGCTCTATTTTCAACATTTTGAGGAACCATTATGCTGTTTTCCAGAGTTGTTGCACCAGCTTGCATTCCCACCAACAGTGTAGGAGGGTTCCCCTTTCTCTGCATCCTTGCCAGCATCTGTCATTTCCTGACTTGTTAATTTTAGCCATTCTGACTGGTGTGAGGTGGTATCTCATTGTGGTTTTGATTTGTATTTCCCTGATGCCGAGTGATATGGAGCACTTTTTCATGTGTCTGTTGGCCATCTGGATGTCTTCTTTGCAGAAATGTCTGTTCATGTCCTCTGCCCATTTCTTGATTGGATTATTTGTTCTTTGGGTGTTGAGTTGGCTAAGTTCTTTATAGATTCTGGACACTAGCCCTTTATCTGATATGTCGTTTGCAAATATCTTCTCCCATTCTGTGAGTTGTCTTTTGGTTTTGTTAACTGTTTCCTTTGCTGTGCAAAAGCTTTTGATCTTGATAAAATCCCAATAGTTCATTTTTGCCCTTGCTTCCCTTGCCTTTGGCGATGTTCCTAGGAAGATGTTGCTGTGGCTGAGGTCGAAGAGGTTGCTGCTTGTGTTCTCCTCAAGGATTTTGATGGATTCCTTTCTCACATTGAGGTCCTTCATCCCTTTTGAGTCTATTTTCGTGTGTGGTATAAGGATATGATCCAATTTCATTTTTCTGCATGTGGCTATCCAATTTTCCCAACACCATTTATTGAAGAGGCTGTCCTTTTTCCATTGGACATTCTTTCCTGCTTTGTCGAAGATTAGTTGACCATAGAGTTGAGGGTCTATTTCTGGGCTCTCTATTCTGTTCCATTGATCTATGTGTCTGTTTTTGTGCCAGTACCATGCTGTCTTGATGATGACAGCGTTGTAATAGAGCTTGAAGTCCGGAATTGTGATGCCACCAACTTTGGCTTTCTTTTTCAATATTCCTTTGGCTATTCGAGGTCTTTTCTGGTTCCATATAAATTTTAGAATTATTTGTTCCATTTCTTTGAAAAAAATGGATGGTACTTTGATAGGAATTGCATTAAATGTGTAGATTGCTTTAGGTAGCATAGACATTTTCACAATATTTATTCTTCCAATCCAGGAGCATGGAACATTTTTCCATTTCTTTGTGTCTTCCTCAATTTCTTTCATTAGTACTTTATAGTTTTCTGTGTATAGATTCTTAGTTTCTTTGGTTAGGTTTATTCCTAGGTATCTTACAGTTTTGGGTGCAATTGTCAATGGGATTGACTCCTTAATTTCTCTTTCTTCTGTCTTGTTGTTGGTGTAGAGAAACACGACTGATTTCTGTGCATTGATTTTATATCCTGACACTTTACTGAATTCCTGTACCAATTCTAGCAGTTTTGGAATGGAGTCTTTTGGGTTTTCCACATATAGTATCATATCCTCTGCAAAGAGTGATAGTTTGACTTCTTCTTTGCCGATTTGGATGCCTTTAATTTCCTTTTGTTGTCTGATTGCTGAGGCTAGGACTTCTAGTACTATGTTGAATAGCGGTGGTGATAACGGACATCCCTGCCGCGTTCCTGACCTTAGAGGAAAAGCTTTCAGTTTTTCTCCATTGAGAATGATATTTGCGATGGGTTTTTCATAGATGGCTTTGATAATATTGAGGTATGTGCCCTCTATCCCTACACTTTGAAGAGTTTTGATCAGGAAGGGATGCTGTACTTTGTCAAATGCTTTTTCAGCATCTATGGAGAGTATCATATGGTTCCTGTTCTTTCTTTTATTAATGTGTTGTATCACATTGATTGATTTGCGGATGTTGAACCAACCTTGCAGCCCTGGAATAAATCCCACTTGGTCGTGGTGAATAATCCTTTTAATGTACTGTTGAATCCTATTGGCTAGTATTTTGGTGAGAATTTTTGCATCTGTGTTCATCAAGGATATTGGTCTGTAGTTCTCTTTTTTGATGGGATCCTTGCCTGGTTTTGGGATCAAGGTGATGCCTCATAAAATGAGTTTGGAAGTTTTCCTTCCATTTCTATTTTTTGGAACAGTTTCAGGAGAATAGGAATTAGTTCTTCTTTAAACGTTTGGTAGAATTCCCCCGGGAAGCCGTCTGGCCCTGGGCTTTTGTTTGTTTGGAGATTTTGGATGACTGTTTCAATCTCCTTCCTGGTTATGGGTCTGTTCAGGCTTTCTATTTCTTCCTGGTTCAGTTGTGGTAGTTTATATGTCTCTAGGAATGCATCCATTTCTTCCAGATTGTCAAATTTGTTGGCGTAGAGTTGCTCATAATATGTTCTTATAATTGTCTGTATTTCTTTGGTGTTCGTGTGATCTCTCCTCTTTCATTCATGATTTTATTTATTTGGGTCCTTCCTCTTTTCTTTTTGATAAGTCTGGCCAGGGGTTTATCAATCTTATTAATTCTTTCAAAGAACCAGCTCCTAGTTTCGTTGATTTGTTCTATTGTTTTTTTGGTTTCTATTTCATTGATTTCTGCTCTGATCTTTATGATTTCTCTTCTCCTGCTGGGTTTAGGGTTTCTTTCTTGTTCTTTCTCCAGCTCCTTTAGGTGTAGGGTTAGGTTGTGTACCTGAGACCTTCTTGTTTCTTGAGAAAGGCTTGTACCGCTATATATTTTCCTCTCAGGACTGCCTTTTTTGTGTCCCACAGATTTTGAACCGTTGTATTTTCATTATCATTTGTTTCCATGACTTTTTTCAATTCTTCTTTAATTTCCTAGTTGACCCATTCATTCTTTAGAAGGATGCTGTTTAGTCTCCATGTATTTGGGTTCTTTCCAAATTTCCTCTTGTGATTGAGTTCTAGC